AGTTTGAAAAGAAATCAATTATCAGTTGCTGTTGGCACATTAAAGCATACTAATATTAAAAACACAAAATAGCATTATTAATTTGAACATGCGGCTCTGTGAAAGTCTGCAATGTTCTGTTTGTCACACGGTGAGGCATCAGCTCAGCAGTCAGAGCTGGATGTGACTGGTGACTGTCAGCCTTAAAGGGTGCGTACTTTAAGGCTGCAGACCCTGAATTGGGATACAGCCAATGAAAGGCTGTCTTAAATCCTTTTCCATCCATTTTCTCTTATCCAGTTTAGACAGCCAGGAGCACGGCCCAGCTGATGTTGGGCAAGAGGCAGGCTTCATTGTCACCAGGTCTGTTCCAGGGCTAATTTAACTAAACAATAAATAAATGAATAAATAAAAATGTCTATTTTATCTAAATTCTTTTTGGTTTCAACCACTTTAAATGTGAAAAGAAACAGTGTAAACTTTAGCAGTGCCTTTCCTACGTAAGAACAAACACTCTGTGGACTAAAGTGTTTGTGCTGATGTTGGAGCTCCACTGTATCGAGCCAGCAGAGCGGTGGAGAGACTTTTATGGGTTTTATGAGCCTCAACATTCGGCGACCCCAGTGAACTCTCTAAAACGACCCCCAGTGTTTGTAAAGAGCTTAGATGCTTGAGTTTACACACCTGTGGCATTAGGACCGAAGAGGTGTGGAAAAATACCCTTTTCCATATAGTGCATGTACAGCCTTAAGGCCCGAGACATACTTATTGATGTTCTATAATTATCAGACTTTTCTCATATTACAATAGTCCTGACAGAAGAACAAGAACACACTCAGCTGACGTGCTCCACAATAATAACTTGAAAAGTCAGAGATTTGTTTGCAAAGTGTCGCCCTCCTCTAATCTACAACACTCCTTATCTGTGGTCGAATATGCCAGCTACATGGAGTCCTTGTTTCTCTGTCACAGTGAATACAAACATTAAAAAGAAATGGCATGCGTAAGCCATTTACTCCCAGAGAAATCCAGATTTCAGAGCGAATCTACGCAGCTCTCATGAACATATGGGAACAACAGCGTATACAGGTACTCGAGTGCAGCTAATGGGTCACTGATAAACCTTTTTTTTAATGACCTAGGACACGTTGATGCTGCAGACTCTCAAAAACAAAGTCCTGG